CCAATAGGGTGTAGCTTACCTCCGTCTTATTTACGATTTCATCGTGCCACCTGCGGCACGAACGATCGCGCTTGCCGAACAGGTTTTCATATGCCGCGCGCGCGCTCCGTTCCCCGAGAGCAGTGACATTCGCCGCTGTAGATCGCTGAAACTCCCGGCCGCACGTAGAAAAGGAATCTCATTGCCTTTGTTGGAGCGCGAGAGCCGGGGGGAGGGGCGCCGGGCGGAGAGAAGCGGGCACGGAGAGCCGGGGCCGAGATTATACATCAGAGACTCGGCGCGCCGACGGGCAACGTCGTAGCCGATGCCACTTGAGCTCGAATCGTATCTAAATGTGCCTCGTATATCAGAAATCGAACTGTTCCTCGCGGTGCTCCGGTAGGTACGGCGGACGGTTTACGTACGTCATTTCGTGGGACGGCCGTGTTCGCGCGCGGCATCATACCGGCCGTTGCAGATGCGCCCCGACCATTTCTCCTGCCTCGCGACATCGTGACAAGCCGCGTGCGGAGATTTCCTGCGCTTCCTCTTCTCCCTATGACGGCGAGACGCCGTTTCGAGTATTTTTGATAAGAACACAAGATGCGGCGAGAAGAGCGAGATAGAGATAGGTAGATAGAGAGAAGAGAGTCGTCGTACGGATAAAACGTGGCTTCGTGACGCATTGTCGGGACGTCCTTGTCGGCGGTGTCCACGTCGAATCTAAGAAGCCGCAGGCTGTAAATTATGTTTATCAACGGTGACGAAAGCCGGCAGGTGCGAGTCTCTAATCCGGCGGAGTGACGATAGCCGCTGAGTATCCGCACGACGAGTCGCTTCTCGATAGAAGAGGATAACGCGTTTTTCGCTTTTTTTCCTCATTCGGGAGTGTCACGTTCATGGAATATCAGTGTCCAGCTCGTGACGGTATCTGAGATCGTGGTCACGTCGCATCGGCGTCTCGTGACAAGTGCGTTTTGTAGTCTTCGTTAAGATTGTAGCGGCGCGAAGATTGCGATAACGGTACAGCCGGCGCGCGGCTTTCTGTTATTTGCGCACGCACGGCCTGTAAATGCTCACTTTGCATTAACTCCTGCATTTTGAATCTCGATTAACGGTCGACGGTGAGTTTATGCGTGAGCTGGCAGATGCCCATTTCTCTCAAGGCGCGCAAGGCCATACGTACGGTACGCACGTTCGTGCTCGCGTGTGCGCGAACCTCGCGCGTATTTTTCACGCGCGAAATGAGCGATGTGGAAGCTAAGTGGTTAAACGAACGGTGAAAAACAGGCAATGATACCGCCGGTGGATACCGGCGCGCACACTCCCCCCCCCCCTTCCGGCCCTTGCAGCCCACCTTTCCGCGGGCCGGATGTAGCTAACAAATGCGCGTTCCGCGTGAAACGACGGAATCGATCGGCATGGAGAGAGAAAGCGAGGTAGAGAGAGAAAGAGAGAGAAAAATCAAGCTTGTTCCGGCGATGTTTCACGTATACGCCTAGCCGTGCGTATGTCGGCTGGGTAATCGGTAAATTGCGCTCCGTGTCGATAACGAAATAACGATTTCACGCTGTTCTAATTGGCCACGGACAGAGATCACAAATCATATCTCGGAGCGCGTTAATACATACGCGCGAGAGAGGGTTGCGTACGCGTACGTGTGAAAGCGAGACAGAAAGAGGGGTTGGAAGAAGTCTTTTTGCTCCATCAACCATCATCATCGGGCCTTATTATCCCGTCTTCCTTATCCCTCCCGGCCTTTTCCCTCTCGCGTATCCTCGTGTCTCTGTTATTTCTCCTCACCTAAGCGGATTTCGATGCACGGACGGGGCGGAAGAAAGATATCGACGGGCGGGGAAAGCGTAGGTGGCGAGATAAGTAGACGGGAAGTTAAACAAAGCGCTTCCAATGAAGTTCCGTTCAGCACCTACGAAGTACTAAAGGCACGATACTCCCCATTATCGCACAACGCGATAGCATTATGAGAAATAAGTAGTACCTTATGTCCTCCGCGCTCCCGGAAGTGGGCATTGATGACGATAATGCCACTTACGCGGCCCGGCCTACAATAAGTAACGTCTTCCTACAATTTGAAGTTTCACGGGTAATTCGAGCGCGGTTGACCGCTCGCGAAGAATCCATCTATGCCCGTGGCCGCAGCACCGACCACAATCTCTCGCCGTTAAAAACGGCATTAGCGCTCTCTCTCTCTCTCTCTCGCACGCGCGCCCACAGCCTCGCAAGGCGTGACCCGCTGATGGCGGGTAATTGAATATCTTTAGCGCCTCTTTGAGGATCGACGTGCCGACGCTCGGATTCGTCCCGCTTCAGAAATTCTCTGCCGCTCGCGCCCGCTCGGCCGCCTGGAATGTTCTTCGTTCGGGCTTTCGCACGCGAATCGCCGTAATCATGAGACGTAAATTTCGGCTGAGGAACCGAGCAGAGTGTTGTTTTAGATTTGGGTACTCTAGAAGAAGATAGAACTAATGACAGATTTGTGATCGTAGGTAAAGGAAGTAGGATTCGACTGGTTGAAATTCTATTTACTCGAATCCTGGTTATATCGTTGCTTCTTCTCGAGTGCACAAATCTGAAGTTATATTCTGATACGTTCTTTGGATCAAGTTTATGTTTTATGTTTACGGTTAAGCTAATTTGCGTGGCAAAGTCCTTAACCCGGTAATTTATCACGTCGTCTTGTTTGAGCTACGCAGCCTCGCGTCTCTTTTTGCGAAACGTGGAATATTTCTGATCGTTTACTTGCTAATTTACGTCTCCAGTCAGACCGTCGGAGCTTCACACGCCCTCTTCGCGATTAATTCACATACGCACACACACATACACACAGAGAGAGGTATTTTCGACTCAAAAATTGCGCAAGCCTGAAAATCTTCCCGAGATATTTCCCGTTCGACTATTATTATTACTATTTTTCATCCCTTATCGTGCCCAGCCGCTTCTCTTCCCTACAGTAAACTTGAGGTAAGTTTTCCGCGAGTCACGATCGAAGCTGCTGTCACACAGCGGAGATTAATTACGATTTAGCAAAGAGTGGATGACGTATGACGAGACGTGGGTGGAGTGCCTACTCCGTCGCTTATCGCGACGTGGGCCAATAACCGACGAAGAACATGGTAGTCGCGGCGGCGAATGATAAACGCGCTGATCTATCAAAATTATATGGCCGGAGCCGACAACTATAGAATACTGAAATCGCACGCACATAGAATGTGAGTGACATAACAGTGCACTCCACTTTACCATCGGGCTATATAAAGTGTGGTTATCGAAATAAAATGAAAAAAAAAAAAAGAAAGACGTTTCCGTGCGGGGATTTTTTCACCTAACTAGAGAGAAAATACGGTGATTTAGAAGGTCCCTCAACGATTTTTTAATATTGCCTTGGACGTATCGGAAATAAAAACAAGACACAATTTTTTTTACAAATACTTTCTCGCACACATTTCGAGTTTGGGGAATTATCGTTCGAAACTAATTCTATATATTTGGCTATGAGTGGATATTTTTAAAACCGTGAAATATATAATAGACTGTTTTTCACAAAAGTTTCATAATTCCCAATGTACTTTGTAACACTGTGTATTTAGCTTTTTTAAACTCACTCAATTTTATGCTTTTCAATATTTGCGTGATAAAATACATTCGAATGATCAATACAATTATACGCGTATAATAAAATTACCTTCCGAACTCGAATTTCTCCGAGGTACAAGTTGCAAACGCCGTGCTATAAGTAATTACAGACGTCCCGCGAAGTATCGCGTACAGCCAAGCCAGACGTAACGCGTCTGACTCTACTTCGGAGCGGTGCGCTGAAGTGGCTGCAGACGCACTGCGTCGTACGAGCCGCCGCAACACGGCGAGCAGGCCGGGCCCGATGTGTCTAAATCTACTTGGGAGCCGTCGAAGTAGCTGCAGACACGTTGCGTCTGGCCGGCTCGTGCACAGAGAAGAAAATCCGTCGAATTAACGTGACGCTGAACAAACCGAATACGTTTTGACCGAAGGAAAAAAATGTTTCGCCCTAAGTGTCGAATTTAGTCGATAAGTACTGGAAATTCTGTTTTCTTCGACGAAAACGCAACGTGTTTGGTTCATTCATCGTCACGTTAATTCAACCAGTTTTTTTTTTCTTCGTATACGCGATACTACACTGAGAAAAAAAGTATATAAAAATTTACTCGCGAGATGTAAAGTTTATTTCACAAAAATAAGATTCACCTCGGTGAAATAAATGTACAAATCAATTTTTATTTTTTTCCCCCCAGTGTACGCTAAGCGTCCGCTCAATATTGGAGTAATTACTTAACTTGGATTAAATAAATATTACTTGAATGTAGTACATTGAAAGAGAAATGTAGCACAAATTCAAGTATAATATCTACTTAATCCTTTAGTGCGCAAATTTTTCTAGAAATGTCAATTTTCCTCATAATTATTTACGATCTCAGCAGTTCTGGGAGAACATAAAAAAAATCCTTTTATATATTTGGGCTTTAATTGACAAATATTTAGTGTCTGCACATTTAAACAAAAAGGCGTGGATAAACAAGGAAGACGCAATTTGCTGTTTTGAAATCAGATACATAAACAGACAACTCTAAACAGTACATGAAAGCAAACACATGAATATACGCAATATTATTGCTTTTTTATTAACACAGCAAAAACACCGTCGACACACGCTACCGATTTAACCTCGCGCGTGCCGGCCATGAAGAAAACATTGGATAACGGCGGCATTTAACGGTAAAAGCACGAAGTACACTTGAACAACGTGCTTTGCGGATGTGGAAACCCGCACGTTGAAACTTCGACGTTCAACGGAGACGGGAGATTGAATATCAATATACAGCCTTACATATATTGCAAATATATACGGCGCATTGAAAGATTAAAATTGCGACTGATAATAAAAATGAACCCCGGATAATTTTCGAACGCGAGATCGCCGAGTGACACCGCGATTAATCCGAGACGGTTTCACTGTGGGGTTTCAGGTGCGCTGTCGCAGTCCCAGTTTCCCGTGTTCACGATCTACGCCCAGAAGAGCTGCCTGGCGGTGAAGCCCTGCGAGCGCGCTTGGTGCATCGATAGAGTGCAGGGACACCGCCTTCAGGGTCACGCACGCAGGACCATGACCGCCTCCTCGCGGCAGCATTGCCTCGAGCTCTGCCTCGGCGAACGAGACTTCCTGTGCCGGTGAGTATATACCCAACGACGGCGCAAAACTGTTTTTCCCCTCCTTTCACGTAGTGTGGAACCGTCCGATTGCTCGTTTTCCACCGACCTGCTTTTCTATCTGCTCCATCGCGGATACGATGTCCGTGGAAGTAAGAGGACGGGGCCTCGCGCTCCTCGTAATATTCGTCGCGAATCGGTACGCAGAGGGAACGCCGGCTCGAGTAGCCTTCGAGGAGCGTACGCTCCAATGCGTTTTCCAGTTATTGGATTCTTGGACCAGCTAGAGGACGTTACACCACGCTTCTACACACTCTCGAGTATTTCTCGGACACGAGCTGCTACGCCCGAGCCGGACGTTTCGCGCGAGCAAGGAACACGCCGGAGAGGAAGTTCGAAGGGGTCGATCCGGCTCTCTCGCGCTAAAATAGCCTGGTTTATCTTTATCGCGTATTACGGAAGGAACTTCTGCCAATCGCACCGAGTAATTGGGGCGATATCAAATTTCGTTGTATCGTCGACGCCGCCATCGCTGCGGAAATATACCGAGGGAAGGTCAACTAGCGCACTCTCTCTCTCTCTCTCTCGCGTGAGAATCGTGAATTAATTAAATGACATGCGACACCAGAATTTTTTCGCTACGAGACTCACGTTTTTTTACTTATTTCTGTTCAAAACGTTACCACCGTTCGTGGTTTATCGCGCTGCCGTGTGCGCGCGACGTTAGTTTTTTTCTCCAGTCGACAGACATTATCAAGCCACGCGCGCGAAACGTGCAACTTAATAAAGCGCTTTGATCGTAACGAAAATAAAAACGACCGTGCGACTGCTATTACCAGGTTAAATGCACGGTATGATATCGTACCGCGTCACACCGTTGACGTTAGCACATCGTCATGATAATCTGACATCCAGAATGTTTTCCCCTATAATTTAATTCCTCTAATCGATTCCCATTTCGCAGAAAGAAGCACGATAGCCTCAGCTTACCAACCATCGCAAGTTTATGTGTCTATGAGCTTTAGAAATGAAAATGTTAATATTGTATCGAGCTGCGTGATGCGCATGCGCGCACGACTGGTCGCTGACCGCGTTCTTGTTACGTTACGAGATCTCCTCGCACGATTTAACTCCTGCAACCTCCTCGATGATCATATTCGCCTAATATCACAAAACCAAATTTCCATAAATGGCCCGACGCTCCGGAATTTTCACAAATTCTTACTAGGAGAACATAATAAGCGAGGAGGTTGCACGATTTAACTCCTGCGACCTCCTCGCTGATCATGTTCGCCTAATATCATAAAACCAAATTTCCATAAATGACCCGACGTTCCGGAATTTTCACAAATTCTTACCAGGAGAACATAATAAGCGAGGAGGTTGCACGACTTAACTCCTACGACCTCCTCGCTGATCATGTTCGCCTAATATCACAAAACCAAATTTCCATAAATGGCCATAAATGGCCCGATGCTCCGGAATTTTCGCAGATTCTTACCAGGAGAACATAATAATAGCAGATGAAATGTAATAGCAGATGAAAATTTTATCGCCGAGGAATTTGAAACGCTGTTCCGTCTAGGGTACGCCGAAAAATTCGAAATGATCGGTGCGAAGCAACGGTATATATTATAAATGCGGATTTCTTTATTTCTTTTTGGGCTTTTCAACAAATTTATACTCACGTTGAATGAAACGTTTGCATTTTAATTAATAACGATTTCTTCAAATTGTTTCATAATTCTCTCAGAACTGGACTCAGTAGAATTTAATCGGGTTATACTTGTAATTTTTATTTTGAATACTTTTAATTCAGTTATTATTGTATCTTTCCTATATGTGTGGTACAAGCAAGTGCAACTAATTATGTACTTCTGCTCCAAAGGGAAAATTGTATAGTTTCGAAGAACAAAGTCAGAAATTAAATAGCCTCTCAGAGATTTAATAGTCAACAAAGTATAAATAATCTACAATAATAAAGTACAAATAATCAATAAGTAAAATGAGTTACTGATAATCTTGGAATTATTTGGCACTATCAATTTGAGACGCGCTCTTACAGTTGTAAAGTTTCGGAAAAAACCCGTTTGTCCCATTTTTCCGCAGATTTTTCTCATCTCTCATCAATTTTACAGAAAAAAGGGCAAATGTGTCAGTTTTTAACAGAACACCCGCGAAATTTCTAAATGAATTTTCGTGTTCTCAAGACAAAACCGAAGAAATCCGCGGGTAGGGGGAGGGGGGGCAGGTTTTCTTCGAAACATCAAAACCACAGAATATTGCTTCTCCGTTTACTTAATAAATAACAATAATATCCGACATTCCATACCGCCGGAGCGGTGGCGAGTACAATGTAAATAATACCAGCGAATTTTCTGCTCTCTGCGTCGCGCCTCGTCGCCAGATCGTATTTCAGAATTTATGGGTCGTCCGCGATCGCGGTGGTCGACAAGACGGCGGCGCGCGATTTTAGTGGCTAACGAACTGGTGGACGTATCGTTTTACGAGTATAGGCGCCGCTAATCCGCGCGCCGGCGAAAGAAACGCGTCCACGTTGCGGATCACTCGCGATCTCGTCGCGTTGATTTTATTTATCGTAATGTGTAACGGTGCGTAGCCGGATGCAATAATGCGTATCGCGGCGTCCTTATTGCGCGCGCCCGCTTATAAATAATGCAGTTCCGTGTGGACCCCGATCGCTCTCGTCGGCCTGCGCGATGTGTGTGTGTGTGTGTGTATGTGGTGTGCGTTCACGTCCGTCGCTGGTATTCCGCACGCGTAATGACCGATACACTTTCATTACTTCGACAACGGGCGTCGGGGCGCGCGGGGAAGGAAAACGCGGGGGAGAGGCGGGTATAGAGTTGCGGACGCGAGAGCATCGAGTTACTTTACGACGCGATTATATTGCATTTTAATTGCCCTCTTTCACGAGCACCGTCATGGCAAACTGTTTCCGATCGCAAGAGGTGTTATACGAACTATTTCGTCCGCTCGTGCATTATGCATGTGAAAATCGCGTGAAAAAGCCGCGTCCCACCGCAACGGGACACGGCTGGACGGGATGGGTAGCTGAGGGGGAGGGAGGGGAGCGGGGTGCGGTATTCATGCGCAGCAATTATGCGGCGTTACGTTCTTCGGGTAATCAGATTTATTCGCACGCCGAAATTCGCGAATTTTCCTCCCCCGCGCGTGTTTCGCAATCCCTTTGATACACAAGCTGGGCGACATCGGCGTACGCGTGCACCTTCCAATGGCGCGTTCTCGCGCAGATGTGTCTCTCTGCCCTCGCAAAGGCGCGTTTTTCTTTTCTTCTTTCAGTGAATGCTGAGCTCGTGCTCGTCGTTATTGCCAATTCTCTTCTTTCGTCGATCGTTATCGCAGAAACCGTCCCGGCGAGAATGATTTCTCGCGGCGCGATCGACCGTTAGACACTTAAGCGCTCTTTCCGCCGCGCCAACTAATGATTATCGATCTGTCGGGCCTTTCTACGATTCACTACATGTTGATTTATATGCTAATCCGGCCCATCGATCAGTTACACTCTCCTGATCTATAATTACCGTCTCACCTTCGAAGCGCGACTTTTACCACTCCGCCGGCGCGGCCGCGCTTTTATATTCGCTTTAAAACCGCTCTTTGAATGCGCCACGCGTTCCGAATGCGGACGCGTGCGCGACCCGATACTGCAAGGCGTGCGGAAAAATATGCTTCTCCTTTTGTCCGAGCTAAATTGAACTAATCGTACATCCCCCCCTCTCTCGCCCCGCTCCCATCGGTTTTGCCCGCCGTGCTATTCCGTTTTCTCATCGCCCATCAGGTCGCGCGGGCGCGCGCTGTATTATAATTTCGTGTGCGTTTTCACCGCCGCCCCGTTCTCTAGTCATTAAAATACGTCGCTCACTCTCCCTCCCCCTCCCCCCCCCCTTCCTCTACCACTCTCCCCTTATCTATCCATTTTCCACGTCACTCTCTCCGTCTCCCGCGTGAAATTTTCTGCTCGGGCGAGGGAGTCGCCGGGACATAAATAAAATTAGATGGGTTAGTTGTGGGAAACGTCAGAGTATCAGGCACTTTTCATTGGCCAGGCATGCGGAAGACGACGGGCCGGCGGCGCGTCTTCCGATTTCGATACAGCTCGGCGCTGCACGGCCCGAGCGAGCGAGCACGAGGGCGCGCGCGCGTTTATGCGATATCACGCCGACGCGTCAAGGTTCGCGTCCGTGAGGCGAGCGTGAATGTGCACGTGCACACCTTGAAAGCCTCCAAAGCGAAAGGTCTCTGCCAGCTGGTCTCTAGCAACGACCCCCAGAGCTGTACCTTGGCTCCGACCCGAGACAGGGTCGAGAGGTCCTTGGCCAGGCGGAACCGTATCAAAAGTGGCATAGCTATGCGCGTTCCGAGACGCCCCCCCCCCCCCCCCCNCCCCCTCCGCCGGCATTTGAGGAAACCGTGGAAAAACCGTGGAAACCGACGGTGAATATATGCATGAACGACGCCGGCCGTCGAAGCAAATTTCCCGAACAGGCGCGCGATCGCCTCTCGCCCGGGCGCGGAAGACGTAATCCGCTTAATCCCCCGAAGGACCGCGCGCGGGGCGAGAGAGGAAAGGGAAGAAAGAAGGAGCGGCGGAAGAGAGGGGTAAAAACTCTCCCGGGCGGGCTTATCGTGCCGCGGTGCGCGCGAACTTGCATACGGGAAACACATAATTGCGGTCGCGCCCTTTAATCCGATTCAATATGCGAGGAGCATGATCGGGCAGCGCTACGCCATGCGGAATTCGGTCAAATAATTAGCGTTAATTTATTTCGGCGCGATTTATTGTGAGCCGCGTGCGCAAACGTTAATATTAATTGGCATTGCAAATTGAATAGGAGAATAATAATTATTTGCTGTACGCTCTCGCGTCCCAGCGAAAAGGCTGTTTAATCGCGAGCATCCGTATTCATAAATACGGCGGAATAATTCGGCGCGAGAACTCACCGCGATATCGAGCGGAATCGTATATAAATCGACGG